GTGGAGTTCAAACAACATGCTCTTAAACAATGGGTCAAAAAATAAATCAAAACAAATTTAAAAGTATCTTTACGAGGAATAAAATGTAACTATGTCAGGTGATGGATGTTAATTTATTTTGGTAATCACTTCATTATAGATACATGTATCAAATCATTATGTTGCATACTTTATACCCTATTATATGTCAATTACATCTCAATGAAACTAGGAAAAAACTTAAAAAAAAATCTTGTGATAAATAAAAAATGAAAACCAAAACTTTTGAGATTCAGCAAAAGCAGTTTTAATAGGGATGTACATAGTGATCAACATGTACAGTAAGAAAGAAATGAAGATCTCAAATAAATGACCTAATTTAACACCTGAAGGAACTAGAAGGAACTAAATCTAAAGTTAGTAGAAGGAAGGAAATAACAAAGCTCAAAGCAGAAAAAAATGAGACAAAATAGACAACAGAAAAAAAAAATCTATGAAACAAAGAGCTTTTTTTGAGAAGATAAGCAAAAAACAAACCTCTAGCTAAGAAAAGAAAAAGAAGCCCTTGCCGGTTTGGCTCAGCGGTTAGAGCGCTGGCCTGCGGTCCTGAGAGACCCGGGTTCGGTTCCCGCTAAGGGCGTGAACCTCGGTTGCAGTTTGTCCCCGGCCCTGGTCGGTTGTGCGGGTGGCAGCCACTCGATGTGTCCCTTTCACGTCGATGTTTCTCTCTCTCTCTCTGTTCCTCTCTCTCCCCCCCACTCTACCTGAACAGAAAATGGAAAAATGTCCTCGGGTGAGGATAAAAAAAAAAAAGAAAAGAAAAAGAAGACTCAAATAAATAAAATCAGAAATGAAAGCAGATACTACAACAGCACATAGGAATACTAAGAGTCATAAGAAACTACAGTTGACTCTTGGAAAACATGTATTTGAACTGTGTGGGTCCACTTATATGTGATTTTTTTCAGTTGACTGAAGTTCATTTGACCCATGCAGTTCAAATCCAAGTTGTTTAGGGGTCAATTCTGCAAATGAGAATATACATATGCAGAGGGCTGACTATAGTTGTATGTGGATTTTCAACTGTGAGGGAGGTTGGCACTCCTAACCCCCATGTTGTTCAAGTGTCAATTGTACTATGAGCAATTATACTTCAAAATAAAAAATAGATAACACAGAAGAAATGGATAAATTCCTAGAAACATACAACCTACCAAGACTTAATCATGAAGTAGAAAATCTGAACACATTGATTACTAGTAAGGAGATGGAATCAGTAATCAAAAACTCTCTAAAAAAAGAAATATCCCAGGACTAGATGATTTTATTGGTGAATTCTACCAAACATTCAAAGAAGAATTAATGCCAGTCTTCTCAAACCCTTCCAAAAAACATAACAGAAGTGAACACTTCCAAACTCACTTTATGAGGCTAGCATTACTGTGATACCAAAGTCAGACAGTGACATTACAAAAGAAAAAAAAAATTACAGGCCAAAATTTCTGATAAATAAAGTTGTAAAATTCCTCAACAAAATGTTGGCAAACCAAATTCAACAATACATTAAAAAGGATCAAACATCATGATCAAGTGGGATTTATTCCTAGGAATGCAAGGATAATACAACATACACAAATCAATAAATGTGATTTACCATTTTAACAAAATAAAGGATAAAAATCATACAATCATCTCAATAGATGAAGAAAAAAGCATTTGACAAAATTTAACATCATTTCATGATAAAAAGACTCTCAACAAATTAGGTATAGAAGGAAATATACTTCAACATAATAAAGACCATATACAGCCCTGGCCGGTTTGGCTCAGCGGTTAGAGCATCGGCCTGCGGTCCAGAGAAACCCAGGTTCGGTTCCCGCTAAGGGCATGTACCTCGGTTGCAGTTTGTCCCCGGCCCTGGTTGGTCGTGTGGGTGGCAGCCACTTGATGTGTCCCTTTCATGTCGATATTTCTTTCTCTCTCTCTCTTCCTCTCTCCCCCTCCCACTCTATCTGTGCAAAAAATGGAAAAAAAATGTCCTCGGGTGAGGATAAAAAAAAAAAAAAAAAAAAGACCATATACAGGGTGGGGCAAAAGTAGGTTTACAGTTGTTCGTGTGGAAAATAATACAATAATTAATAATATAAGAATAAACCCTTTGTTTTCTGTACTCACAACTGCAAACCTACTTTCGCTCCAACCTGTATGACAAGACCACAGCTAACATCATAGTCAATGGTAGAAAGCCGAATGCTTTTCCTCTAAAATTAGGAATAAGACAAGGACTCCCACTCTCACTGTTTTATTCAACATAGCCAGAGCAATTATGCAAGAAAAATAAATAAATGGCACCCAAATCAGAAAAAAAAAGTAAAATTATGTTTGTTTGTAGATGACATGATCTTATATATAAAAACCCTGAAGATGCCACCAAAAAACTGTTAGAACTAATAAACAAGTTCAGTAAGTTGCAGGATACAAGATCAATATACAAAAATCAGTTGTGTTTCTATACATTAACAATTAACAATTTATTTCTGCAAAGAGAAATAAAATAATCCCATTTACAATAGCATAAAATATACTTAGGAAAAATTTAACTAAGGAGATGAAAAATCTGTACACTGAAAAGTATAAAACATTGGTGAAAGAAATTGAAGACACAAATAAATGGGAAAGATGTCCCATGTTCATGGATTAGAAGAATTACTGTTATTAAAAGGCCCATACTACCCAAAGCAATACAGATTCAATGCAATCTCTACCAAAATTCCAATGGTGTTTTTCATAGAAATAGAAAAAACAATCCTAAAATTCATATGGAACCACAAAAGACCCCAAACAGCCAAAGGAATCTTGAGAAAGAAGAAACAAAGCTAGAGGCATCATACCTCCTGATTTCAAGCTATATTACAAATCTATAGTAATCAAAATAGTATGGTATTTGCATAAAAAACAAACAATGGACATGCACAACAAAGCTGGGGACGGGGCAGGGAGGGGGGGAGGTTGTCAATGAGAGAAAAGGGGAAACATCTGTAACAAAAATAAATAAATACATAAATAAATAAATAAATAAATAAATAAATAAATAAATACACATAGATCAATGGAACAGAAGACAGCCCAGCCCTGGCCGGTGTGGCTCAGTGATTAGAGAGTCATCCCATGTACCAAAGGGTCTTGGGTTCAATTCCTGGTCAGTGCACATACCCAGGTTTTGGGTTCAAGGCAACTGATGTTTCTCTCTCTTCTGTCCCTTCCTCTCTCTCTAGAATCAGTGAAAAAACCATATATTTGGGTGAGGATTTAAAAATAATAAAAGACTGCCCATAAATAAACCCATGGATAAATGGTTTTGTTTTTACTAAAGAAGCCAAGAATATACAATGAGGGAAAGATAGTCTCTTCAATAAATGGGGTTGGGCCCTGGCCGGTTTGGCTCAGCGGTTAGAGCGTCGGCCTGCGGTCCCGAGAGACCCGGGTTCGGTTCCGCTAAGGGCATGTACCTCGGTTGCAGTTTGTCCCCGGCCCTGGTCGGTTGTGCGGGTGGCAGCCACTCGATGTGTCCCTTTCACGTCGATGTTTCTCTCTCTCTCTCTGTTCCTCTCTCTCCCTCCCACTCTACCTGGGCAAAAAGTGGAAAGATGTCCTCGGGTGAGGATAAAAAATAAATAAATAAATAAATAAATAAATACATAAATAAATAAATAAATAAAATAAATGGGGTTGGGAAAACTGTATATCCACATGTAAAAGAATGAAACTGGATGGGACCCTGTTTTACAACATACATAAAAATCAACTCAAAATGACTAAAGACTTGAATGTAAGACTTGAAACCTTAAAACTCCTAGAAGAAAACATAATCAGTAAGCTCTTTGACATTGGTGTTGGCAATAATTTTTTTGGATTTGAACCAAAAGCAAAGGCAACAGAAGCAAAAAACAAACAAGTGGGACTTCATTACATGAAAAAGCTCCTGCACAGCAAACAATATCATCAACAAAATGAAAAACAAAAAAAACGACTTATAGAATGGAGGAAATATTTGCAAACCATATATCCAATGAAGAGTTAATATCTAAACTATACAAGGAACTTGTAGGAACTTATATAACTAAATAGCAAAAATATAAAATTTAACAATTAAAAATTATTTAATTAAGAAATAGGCAGAGGAACTGAATGAATATTTTTCCAAAGAAGAAATTCACATAGCCAACAGGTACATGAAAATGTGCTTAATGTCACTAATTAGCAAGCAAATGCAAATCAAAATCACAATGATATATCACCTTACAACTGTTAGGATGGCTGTTATGAAAAAGATAAGAGAGAAGTGCTGGCAAGGATGTGAAGTAAAGGAAACCCTTATACACCGTTGGGGGGAATGTAAAGAGTACAGGCATTATGGAAAAGAGTATGGAGGTTCCTGAATAAATTGGAAGTAGAACTACCACATGACCCAGCAATCCCACATCTGGGTATATATCCAAAGGAAATGAAATCGCTATTTTATGCCCATGTTCATCGCAGTATTATTCACAGTAGCTGTGCTATGAAAACAACCTGTCTGTCCACTGATGGATGAATGGATAAAATATATATAAAATGAAATATTATTTATCCTTAGAAAAGAAAGAAGTCCTGGTATTTTGCAACAACATTAAGCAAAGTGAAATAAGGCTAACAAAGACAAATGCTGCATGGTATCACTTATATGTAGAATCAAAAAAAATTTTTAAGTCAGATTCATAGAAACAGAGTAGAGTGGCAGTTGCCTGGGACTGGGGGGTAGAGGGGGTGAATGGGGTGGAAATAGAGGCTAGTATACTGGTATTATCTTGAGCAGGAATGAGAAAATACACTTAATTCTGTCCTATTTAATTGATCATTGTGATTGGATGCATTTATAGGTCTTTTTTTTTTTTAGTTGCTTGGTAGAACTTATTGATATATCCTGTTGCATTTTTTTTTTTATCTGACCCATTATGTATCTCTCTGGCTTTTCATTTCAGTACTTCTCTGAGTGGCACCAACGCTCCTTCTTTTTCCGGTCCATGGGAAAATAAAGAGTTCAGTGCCATAGCCCTTGCTAACTGCTGTGAATTCTATACCAATGCTGCGTGTGCCTAAGGCTGGTCCATTTTCATGACAGTCTTGATCTTGACAGATTTTGATGGTAAAGGTATTTATGTACTCAAGAGTTCCCACTCTACAACTAACTCACCACGATCTTTAACAGTGAATCTAAAGTGTTCCTTTGGTTCACGTTATGACAGGAATGAAAATCAGCTGTTGTCTTTCCATTATTTGAAACAAATAGAAAATTCTGTCAGAGTTTATATGTGAAATAATAAATATTAACATATCAAAAATATTTTGCAATTCTTGCTTCTAGTTGCCATCTTAAAAAGTATGTGATGCAGTCTGTTATAAATATGATTTGGTATGTAATGTGTACTGTGGTGAAAAGCTGTATTTTTTGGAGTTCTGTGGATGAGCTAGGTTATGGTACTAAAGGTACACATGAAAGTTACATGAATATATAATGATAAATTTTTTTCTGGTCTTCCCACATACAAACTCCTTAACATTACATAGTAAACTAAAAGTATTTCCTACATGCAAACTTGAAAGGAATGTCCTTCTTAAAGGCCCTTACTTTGTTTTAGGATTCTGCTTTGGTGCCATATTTGCTTCAAGTTTACAGGGAATCCTTTAAAACAGTTGTTTTCAATGGGAAGGAGGTCAATTTTGCTTCCCAGGGAATGTGTTGGGACATTATTAGTTGTAACAAATGGGGGATGCTACTGCCATCTACTGGGAGAGGCCAGGATTGCTACTAAACATCTTATAATGTACAGGTTTCTCTGGCCCCAAATGTCAACAGTGCTAAGATCGAGACACTTTTATTTAAAATGCTTAATATATACCTTATATATGATATTATTTATAATATTAATAATGTTATAGCCTAAAGGAAGAGTCTTAAAAGAATGTAGAGTTCCTCAAAAGTTAAACATGGGATTACCTCATGGCCCCACAATACCCCTAGGCATAGATGCAAAAGAACTAAAAACAGGTAGTCAAACAACTACATACATGTATGTGTTCATAGTAGCATTATTCACAATAGTCCAAGGATGGAAACAGTCCAAATGTCCATCAATGCCTGAAAGGATAAACAAATTGTGTTATGTACATATGATGAAATTTTATTCAGCCATAAGAAGCATGAAGTACTGATATATGCTACTTACAAAGAGGAACCTAGAAAATATTATGCTAAGTCAAAGAACTGAGACACAAAAGCTTATTATTATATGATTGTATTTTGTATAATTCCATTTATATGACATATTCAGAATAGATACGTCCATAGAGACCATATAGATCAGAGTTGCGGGGGTCTGGGGGAGTGGGGAATTAGGAGTGACCACTTCATGAATACGGGGTTTTAGTTTAGGGTAATGGAAATGTTTTGGAACCAGATAGAGGTGGTGGCTGCACAACATTATGAATGTACTAAATGCCACTGATGTGTTCACTTTTGAAAGGTTAGTTTTATGTTATGTGAATCTGTCAATAAATTATACATATATATTTTTTAATGGATGTAGACACTTGTATGTTCTCTTAACTAATCTACCTTCTTCCACTGCACAATTATCTGAGCTCAGAACCTCTTAGTCTTCTTTCCAGTCTCCATTCCTGTCTCCTCTCTCCTATTTTCCGAAGTTGACATAAAAGAAAACAAAGCCTCAGTAAACTGCCTCTCAGCCTGCACACGGGTTTTCACCCTGGCCTGGTTTCTTTCTGAGAGGCAGCAGAATGCAGTGGTTGGTGGTAGCCCACACTAGGCCGGATTACTTGGGTTCTGATTCCTGCTCTGCCACTTTTCCTTGGGTGATCTTGGGCAAGTTCTTTAACTTCTCTGTGCCTTGGCATCCTCATCTATAAAATGGGGATAACTGGACCTGCCTTATAGGTAAAGGTTCTGAGGTTGACTGCCCACTGTAGGCTCAATGTAAGGATTAGCTGCTCCTAATCATCATGATTTAAGGAGCTTAGTTCACGACTATCAATTTATTGTTATGTATGCAATTTAGTTCACACAAGGAAGTATGTAGCATGGAAGGAACTCCTTATCTCCTTTCAGGAGAAAGGGTGGGCTTTCTAATTTTGTTTCCTTTTTTTTTTTTTTTTTTTTATCGTCACCCGAGGACATTTTTCCATTTTTTATTCAGATAGAGCAGGAGGGAGAGAGAGAGAAACATCGACGTGAAAGGGACACTGGAGTGGCCCCTACCCGCACGACCCAACCAGGGCCGGGGACAAACTGCAGCCGAGGTATGCGCCCTTAGCGGAACCGAACCCGGGTCTCTGTGGACCAGGTCCGCTCTAACCGCTGAGCCAAACCGGCCAGGGCTCAGTTCCCTTTTTAAAGTAAATTTGGCCTAAACTCTGCACTTAGAGGGCCAAGCTGTAACTGCAGGAAGCGTGATAATCTTCCACCACCACCTGCAGAAGAGCCTCGCCAGCCGGAGAAGCGAACAGGAAACCGGGGCTGAATGCCACCTCAGCAAGCGCAACGACTCCGGCGCCAAGCGGCCCCCTAGGCGAGTACCAAGGTGACTTGGGCGGAAATGGGCTGGGCTGGCCAGGGTTGGGTGCCAAGCCTGGGAGGTGAGCAACCAGGATCCATCAATCTCTGACTGGTCCTGGGGTGGGGCAAACGTGCCCACTCTGATCTGGGAAGCAACACGTGCTGGGCTTTTGTTGCAAGTGCTCCTGGGGTCCCTGGTATAAGAGCCCCAGGTAGAGAGAAAGAAGGAACTAAGGAAGAGAGTAGGTAAGAGGAAAGGCAGGGAGGACCAAGAGAAATGGGAGCTGTGAAAGGAGGCTGTGGGAGGAGTAGTGTGGAAAGGGGACCATGGGAGGAGGAAAGGAGAGTGGCCGACTGAGCCGACTGAGCCACTGAGTGGGTCAAATCTGTTCTCTACACCACAAAGTCCCTCTTGTGCATATTGTTCCACAGCCTGCCCTTTTGCTTAAGGTGTGTGGACGTCTTTCTAGGCTGGTCTGTATAAATGTACCTCATTCATTTTGTTGGCTACATGGTATCCTATGTAAGGAGGTACATAAGTTATCTATTCTTTCCCTATTAATGGACATTTATATTGACTTATATTTGGCCAATTATTTCTAGAAGCCTGAGGTACACAAAGTTTGTATTTGACTACTCCCACTTCTGACTCTGCTTTAGATGCCTAATCTACTCTTGGTGATAGTTCTTGCTAAGCTGTTGGTTGTCAAGCCAGGTTATCACCTCAGTGAGAGTAATTGACTTTTAAAACAGAAATAAAAAGATTAGGGGCCAGAAGATCTGGATTCAGAATCTTGGCCTGAGTCCCTTTGAAGCCATATGAAAATTCTTAATCTCTCTGAAGCTCAATTTCCACTTCTGAATAATGAAGGTGATGATAGTTATATCTACCTTACAAGTTGCTAGAAAATTTGAATTAATAATGTATATGAAAAACCACATTGTGGGAATGGTAAGGTGCTCCAAAGATATTCTTTCCACAAGTAGTTAAAGTGTAAGGACCTTAGAGAGTCTGCTCCTTTATACATGAACTTTCACTTGGTTCTTATCACACTCCTGGCGTTATTTACTTACTGAGATTTGCATGTTTGCTTTCTTCCCCCATTTAATCCATACAACAACCCTTTGAGGAAGGTCCTATTACTATCCCAGTGTTCCAAAGGAGGAAATACAGGCTTAGAGAGATTAGGTTGCTCTCCAAAGTGACATAGTAAGTGACAGACCTGGGATTTGAGCCCAGGGTCTGTCTGACTCCAAAGGCCTCGCTCTTAACCACCATATCTATTCTCATACGACCTCAACCTTCCCTGACTTCCTCTGCTTGCTGTAATCCAGTGCCTCAGTCCCGCTGGTTTAATCCAAGTGATCTCATCAGCTTCTAATATATTTATACTTTCTGAATTACTTATGTGCCAATCATGTCCTGTTGTGTGGCAGCTTGTATTCTTGTCTGATTTTTTCTGCTTGTCTTATTGTTGTCTTCTATTGTAGCAAATAGAAAAATGGTTGTTATAAAATCTGGTAATTCCCTCAAAGACAGAATTGTCTTTATTTAACAAGTTACTTTTATCAGCTCTTTGAATATGAAGCTCTGTGGGGGAAGAGACCAAGTCTGTTTTACTACCAAAGCCCAGGACCTCGCACTGCCTAGCAAAAAAAAAAAAAAAAAAAAAAAGTGTTTAATATTGGTTGAGGAATAAAAAAGATGAAACTCTAAGGTTTGGTCCTATACCTGGGGCAAAACGAATGTAGCGAAAATGTCTGCTAAATGAAAGCCCTTATACTGCCTGATACAAAGTAAGCTTTTAATCAGTGTGACTTATTGCTACATCAGTACAATAGGAATGGGGTGGGGTTTATGATTAGCAGGTAGAAAATGGGAAGGCAAAAGCAAGAAAAATGAGCAAAATGATGCTGAGCTAGGGCTGCTTGTGAAGAGATGGCCAGAGAAGACTTCTTAAAGGCAGAAATGGACAAAGGGCATTTTAAGAGCAGGGATACCTAATATTTGCCCTGCTGTAGTAACCCCACCAGCTCTGCCGTCAAATCTTCAGTAAAAGTCTGCTCAACATATGGTCTAGTGTTACTTGTATTTTGAAGAATTCAAGAATCCAGGCAGTGTCCAATGTAGATGGTGTGATGTTAATTGTCCAGTCAGCAGAGACAAAGCAGTCAGCAGGAGTAAAACAGTCATAGAGTATAAGGAGAGTGTTCAAGAAACCTCAGACACACTGGGAACAATACTGGTTTTTCTTATTTGCTATAGGATGGGGGTCCATTAAATCTTAAAGAATGAGGGGTTCTCCAGTAGGCTGGAGGACTTTGGGGACACCAAGACAGCTAAATCCTGAGTTACACTTCTGTGGTTATTCTAAATAGGTTGTGTTTATAACTTGTCCTCCCAGCTGGATTGTAAATTTTCGCAACTAAAAACAATGAGAAATGAGTTGAACTTGTATGGCATGTTTCTGTGTCTGAATATCTTCTTTGCATTAGCTCATCGGAACTAACATTTTTAGTATTTTTG